AAGCGTCTATTGGAGGGTCAGGGTTGCGAGGAGAGCTTTGCGCAGTCTGTTGACGGCCATCGGGACATGCTGCGTGGAGTCACGGATATGGCAACATCCAGGGCTCGTGCTTCGAAGTATGGTCAGGTGGATGACGTGACTGACGTGCAGTCCGATGCCCCGACTGCAGCAGAGGAGTCTTCGCAAGCTGGTGCTGCGAGAATGCAGTTCGGCATCTTTGACTCGAAGCCTTCGTCGGCTTCGGCGGCAGATAATAAGGGTCCCAAGACCAAGAAGCCACGTGCGAGCAAGATGCCAGCATTCCCGCTACCATCGAACGCCGCTCCTCGGGAGCCATCGCCCTCTCGCAGCATCAACGAGCGGCCAGGTTTCGGTGCACAACCCCTCGGCTTCCGTGCAGTCGATACTGCGGCAGGCAAGGGCAATAAGAAGGCGAAGGAGCTCATCACCAAGGCGACCGAGGCACTCGCGAAGCACAAGGACACCTTCAGCGACAGCAACGTCTGGACGAACAGGACTCGCCGGCGTATCCTTGAGGCGGCCATCAAAAGCCTTTCCAACCTTGCGAACCAGTTGCTCGCCTTGAACACCGACGCCGCCGACAGCTTGAGCCGGGACATCACAGAGTGGGCGGATCGAGCGGAAGTCCGTTTTGATTCGTTGGCCAGGGTGCGGTCAATGACCCTGGACTACGCCGAGATTGAGTCTGTCGCTGAGGAGCATTTGCAGCCCCTGCGAGAGCTTGGTGTGGCCATGCTTTCCAATGTGATCCTCTTCGTGGCCGGTGAGTGCTTGAAGCACATGGAGAAGGTTTGAGCTTAGTGAGATATGCTATGAGATGCTATGGTATGGTTTTAGAGTTTTGGCCCTTACTATAGGCTATAGGCTATAGGTCCCTGTCCCCATTAGTTAAAGACAAAGAGTTAAAGTTAAAGTTAAAGAGTATTGTCATTGTGATCATTTGTTAATACACTCGACTGCACTATCCACCCTATCGATAAAAACACCGCTTAAGCTCTGCCCGTGACACTGGCCTTGTTGTGTTGTATGTTCCTTTGCCAGTCGAGTGCCATGTTGAATTTGCACTTTCTGACTAAACTGTACTGTACTATATGTTGCTTCATAAGTCAATTCTTTTTCAGTTCGATTAAGTCATGACCCATGAGTTCATGAGTATGTGTTGTATTGCTTACTACTACACTTCATCCTTAAACCTTAAAACTTAAAACTTAAAACTTAAAACTGCTAAACCTTAGTGCGCCGACCCTTGACCGAAACCACCGCCCCTATAACGCACGATAATTATTATCACTGAATTATAAGTTATAATTATAATAATTTATAAGTCTATAAGTCTATAAGTCTATACTATAGACTATAAGACTATCTATACAGTAGATTAGTAGTAGCAATTAGTAGAGTCCTAGTGAGTCCGTCCTAAGTCGCGATAGGGGGGGGGGGGAACCAAGGGATATTTCGTTGCAATGATGACTCGAAGATTAAGTCCCTTTCGTAATGTGTGGCTTCGACAAACATGCAGGAGGGCAAGGATGCCGAGGGTACCGCTGGGTTCTTTCGACTTCTGAGCTGTCAGCAGAAGGACGCGGCATTCTTGAATGTCGGCATGGTGTATGAAGCCGCATTGACACAGCAGGCGGAGCGTTTCGGAGATCCACCGTCCATGGCAGCAGGGATCGCATCGAATCTGCAATCGCAGATGCTTGCCTTGTGGCTGGACAAAGTGATGCGAGTGAAGAGCCCGGACAGGTTTCGAGCGTTGGTGGCTTTGTGCTTCGGCTCGCAGTGCAAGGCATGAGATGTTGCATTGGCATTAAATGAGTTAGTAGACTAGTGACTAGTAGTAATTGTATATTATATTATATTTATATAGCCGAGGTGCCCGATTCCTCGGTTGGAGTTGTCAAGACTTGCAACGGATTGGAAGCCACACCAATCCGACTTGAATGGCAACGGCACGATGCCCTACACCACCAGCGCTCGCTTCGATGTGCAAGCGCTTCGAATCATGGCAACAAAGGATTGGAAGCAGGCCGCCTGGTATTTAAACTAAAATAATGTCTTTGCTGCCAGATTAGGGGGTTGGCAAGAAGTCTTGCAAAAGAATGCTGGGCAGGCTTCGCCGCTGGATTTGTACTTTGCGAAGACGATAGTGGACTTGCGAAGTCAATTGTCAATGAGATTGCAAACGTTGCTGCGCTCGACAAACTCTGCTGGCAGGTGGCGTCTCTCAAATAGAAGTAATAGAAGTAGCTATGCTAGATTGTTATAAGTTATAAGTTATAAGTTATAAGTTATAAGTTATAAGTTATTGATATTTCAATTGTCGGGAGTCGGGATTTCCTGTGTGCCTCAGGCGGCTGGGGCGTGTGAGTCTATGTACCGTATGTTGGTGTGATTGTGCGAGTTCGGTGATGGCAGAAGCCATGAGCCAGATGCAATGAAAAGTCTGAGTCTGGTCACTGACATGATATGGACTCCGTAGTGTGGACAGTATGGCAGTATGTAGCATCGTGTGGCTCATTGTTCTGCGAGGTCTATGTGGGCGGCAGTGGAGCAGGCTGGCAAGCGTGCGGTGACGCCAGGAGGTGTGGCGAATGAAGTGCAGGCGGCGGTTGGTGCATTGCCGTCAGAGGCCATCGATGCTGCCGTGAAAAGCGCTTCGGTGCTGCCGCTTCTGAAAGAGGCCGCACCTGTGAATTTAACGAAACCATATCAATTTCTACCGGTTCTAAGTTCTAAGTTCTAAGGTTCTAGATTCTAGATAGATAATGAAATCATTGCAATATACCATGCCATATCAATACCATTCAGGTTCAGATTCATATTCAGATTCATACTCATATCATTCTTGGCTTGACACAGTTGAAAGAATAATTAGGGCCGAGGTGTGGCCAACGTAGGTTCAGTTTGGTGGTGCTAAGTGCTAAGTGCTGACTTACTGCCTGCCCCCACAACTCCGTGAGTCCGTTGCTGCTACTGCCTCATCCATCACTGCTCCTGCTACTTAAATACTACCACCACCACCGCCACCACCACTACTACAACTGCCACTGCTGCTCATGCTGCTGCTTTCGAGCTGGTGCTGCTATGCCTTTCCGCTTGTCAAATCGCAGGGCGCTCGCAAGGCCGTGGACCGTGCCCTTGGGGCATTTGAGTCTTTGAAAGCTTTGCCGCAGACCGCTGAGCTTGGCAACGACGTGGTTACAAAGCTTAAGGAAGCTGCTGATGCGGTGGTGGCTCGGCAACGACTAATCAAGGTAGAATAGAGGCTGTAGAGCCGGCTAGAGGCTAACGAGTCGACTGCGATGGCGATGACCATAGACCATAACATTGACGGTGTAGGGGTTTAGGGTTTAGGTTTTGGGTTAAGGGTTTAGGTTTTAGGTTTTAGGGGTTTAGGGTTGGGTTTACGGTTTAGGTGTAGGGGTTTAGGGTTTAGGGTTTTTGTTCAGGGTTTGGGGTTGGGTCTATATATTACTATTATTTAAATTATATCACTATATCGACTATATCAATATCTCATAGTTATGTTTTTTTACATTTATGTTATGTCATGGAGTCGTATCATCATATCATATCATATAAGCCGTTCAATAGCTCAATTCCGTCAGCCAGACAATTCAATAGTTCAGCCGCATCCCACCCCACAGATGTGCAGAAGCGGACATTTTAGGAGGTGTCACTTGCTGAGGATTCAGTGTTGAAGAAGAATGGTTGTGCGGCGCTCCTTGCCGCTTTCTCTGGTTTGGAAGTGGATGGCTTTTGGACAAGGCCGCTTCCGGAGAACGCTGCGACCCTCTCCGTCGGCGACAATTTAAATATGCTCCTCAGGTGGATGACCACTTTCCAGGCATGTGGGTTTTCAATCTTGTTCATATGCAGAAAATCATACACACACATACAAGCTGTTACAAGCTGGGCTAGGGTCGTCTAGAATTCATATTCTACCTTCCCGAGGTGCTGGGTCCACAGGATCGTTTGCTTCCGACCATCGCAGATGTGTTTGTGGACCTGTGTCATGCGCATGCTCAAGTGGCACAGGTGGAGAAGAAGGTCGGAGCAGAGACGATGGCCACAGGCATCAAAGCACTTCACAAATTGGATGCAGGCTCCAAGATCGCCGAGCTGGAGCAGCAGCTGTCGGTGTACTCAGAGAAAGGTGGGGGTTAATATTAATATAATAAATCATCATAGTTTCAGTGTTTTACCATGGTTATTAATGACTAAATAAATAATAAAAAAAAATATTAGCTATAAGGCTATAATTGTATAAACTATTAACAGTCTATTAATAGTTTTCAAACCTGAGACTCAACTGTGGATGATGTCATTATCATTATTATCATTATCATTATAATTATAATTATCATATTATCATTGATGTTATTAGTAGTTAGTTAGTAAAGCATAATTTTCCGAACTAAGCTCAGTGAAAGCATCAAACCAATTTTATTGTTTGCCACTCGAAGGTCTGGGTGTTACGGATGACGAGAACCTGATGAAGGCGATGCTCGAGAGTGGCTACGCTTTGGTGGAGATTATCCGTGGCGAGCAGCGGCAGGGCTTGCAACTTGGGTGGTTCAAGTTCATGGTGCGCACCGGTAAGCAGCCGGAACTGGAGTCGCTGGACACATCGGTGCTGTCGCTTCTTGACCAGCAGGCAGGCGACTTCTGGCGATCCACGCAGGCCCTGGCTGAAGCAGAAGCAGCGACCAAGGAGAACGGTGAGATCTCCGCGGATAAAGCGTCGGTGAAGAACATCATGCTGAATCTCATCCAGGTGTATTCTGTGAACCAGGAGGAAATGAAAAGTTTGGGTTTCAAGGATGTCATCGGGACAATGAATACCGCCCGTACCCGGGCCATTCTCGCTTTGGCCAAGCTGCATGATGCTATGCAGAAAGACAAGGGCCTCGTGATCAGATCTTACAATGAGTTGAAGAGCATTGTGACTTCCATGCAGGCTGGGAACGAGGCTGAGATTCGTGCGACCCTCACGAATCTTTCCATGCAGGGCGAGCAGGAAGCCCAGCAGGTGATGCAGTCAATGGTGGCAGGCTCATTTCATTGCAATTTCAAATCATGTATGCTTAGCCTGAGCATAGCTGCTTAATCTTTGTAGTCGGCTTTGTGACTTTGTGTTTTACAAAGTGTTGTGGTTGGCTTCGGATGTTCCTTCTTCGGGCAGGTTCTCAGGCTGTGCGTGAGTACGAAGAGACGATCGACCTCGTCAAGACGTGGGCCCAAGAAAGCGTTTTTCAGCAGCCGGACCTGGCAGAGATGTATTTGAAGTTGCACGAGTGCAACGACGAGGAGCCTAAGTCAGTGAACCTCTGCCCTGTGATCGCCTGTGTCATGGGCTCGGAGCTGATGTTTAATCCGGAGGCCGTGAAAGCCGATACCCACCAGCAAGTCAGCAAGTTCTTCCAGTATTGCCAGTCCACCCTCAAGCTTCCCAAGAAGGATTTGCCCAAGATGCTTGTTGAAAAGCTGGAGAAGATTGCCAAGGATCGTGTTGTGATTGTTTCAAGGGTTGGTCAGTGAAGTCGGTAGAGTCGCTAGAATCGAGTCTGTGAGTAAATCAGCAAATCAGTCTAGACTGGGTGCAAATATAACATGTCACCCACTCCACTATAGAAGCCGTTGCTTGGAATAGCCTCGCTAGCTGTGTATGGTAGGATTCTTTCAAACTCCCTTTCCTATAGTCAGAGCTAGCAACATACAAGGGCTCTCAATTCTTCGAAGGATTCCAAGATGATGGTCCAGATGATGCCGCCGCCTTCCCCATCCCCGCGTGGACCAAGCAAGAAGCGAGCAGCCTCAGAGAGCAAGAAGTAGTTTTCTGGTGACCAGAGCAGGCTGCATCTTGCTGTGCGGATTCCGACCATTGTTTTGGAAGTGTGAAATAGGATTCAGACTCAGACGACTTCATATTAGAACCCCCAAGTGTGCTGCTGGTTGCTTCAGTTCGGATTCCTGCAGTCAGGATTGCCTGTAAGTAAGCGGCTGACAACATCTCAGTCGTGCCACGGCAGACAGATTCCCGCCGGCCGCCGAGGATGGCCTAGACCGTTTGATCAAATCAAGATATAGCATAGACTCATAGACTCATATCGTATCAAATATCATATATCTCAGTATCTCCGCATTGTTAGGGAGCAGCATGTATCCTAAAGTAAGTGGTCAGATTCACGGGTTCAGCGTTTTAGGTTTTATTTATAAATTTATTTATAAGGTTTATATTATTTATTTATATTTATAGGTAAGCGGTAAGTGTTATAGTCATAGTTATAGTCTTTATAGTCATAGTTATAGTTATAGTCTAGTCATAGGTCATAGGCATACATAGTCATAGTCATAGTCATGAGTCATAGTCATTGTTAAGTTAAGTGGTAAGTTAGAAGTTTTAGGGTTTAGGGCTTAAGCGGCTTAAGTAAAAGTCCGTAGCCGCAGCCACAGTGGTAGCAATCAATCAAGTCAATAACAAACTCGAGTCAGCAGCTATGACATGAGGCCAGGCGTTCCTCGCCTCGAAACAAGTTCCTGTGCCGAGACGGCAAAGGAGTTGTTCAAGTGCTGATTGGTGTTGGTCGCATGCACATGCGACTTACATCGATCTCGCTATGTGGCACAGATCATTTCGTGTCTTTGCTTCTGCTTATCGCAGACTGCTAACAGCAGTCGCGGAGTCATTGCTATGATTCCGGTAATTCAGTAATTGTGGCTGAGCTTTCGACTGTCTGCATGTGTCGTACTGATTGGCCTTGCGTACCAGTAGCTATCGTGGCTGACAGCGCCAGCACAGGCTGCCTGCCACGATGACAGAACAAAAACCTCATACGGCACAAGCTATGTGTCACGATGAGCCGGGAAAACACGATCTCCGTTTAGACGTTCAGTGGAGCACGCCATGAATGACCTGTTTTGTCCCATGTCCGTATGTATTGGTATGGCTATCGATTCATATCACGTCTGTGTGAGGAGCCACCGTCGATGTCTCAGCGACGGCCTTCAGCAGCTTTGCATGCTCTGCACTCCAAGCTTCTTGAGATGCAGCAGCACCCAATGCTGCAGCATCTATCGGATGCTGAGATTTGGGAGTGCCGCTGTCAGCAACGACAAGAGACAAGAGAGAATATTGCAATTGTAACTTGTAACTCTATGCCTAGGATCACCTTGTCTCGCGTGCATATGGTGATATCCCGCATCCGAGGCATGTCAATGCGGCCAAGAGAAGCATGGGAGTCGAAGTTTGGGAGCGACTAGTCTCGCCCCGCCAGGAGATCACTTTGACTTTGATCTTTTGGCAGGCGAGGATCAATGATTGGGACCCGGACAGTGTGTATGTTGACTTGGCCAAATCGTACGAGCGGGCAGCGTGGAGATATGATGGGTATCTCCCGCCGTCCCAGACAAGCAATGGTTTTTGAGTTCTTGAAATTCAGAAGTTTAGCAGCGACGTCGTTTTGCATGTGGGCATTCAGCATTCAGGTTGACGACAAACAGTCGTATTTACAGCTTCCGCATGCGTCGATACTTGCATGGCTACGAGCTTTTGGGCATGTGCCTTTGCTGATATGATATGATTGGTTGTTCATGAAAACACAATCGGATTGCGTCCCATTTGCAGTTGCCTCCATTTCAGGCAGGGATTCAATGTGGAGAAGTTGAACTTTGCTGGATTTACCAAGTCTGCGCTGTGGTCCGTGCTCGCAGGCCCCCGTAGCAGTAGTCGGAGTCGTGAATCGTATACGGCAGAAGCAAGGGATAGGGGTCTCATGTTAACTGTCTCGCAGGCAACTGTATGTCCATGCCGGTGATTGGAAATGCGGTGATGGCAGTCGCTCAGACTCGATCCAAGAATAGATTGTGCAGTTGCGTGCAGATGTCAATTTATGAACTTATGTCATGTCACTGTCAATGTCTATGTCAATGTCTATGTCTATGGCGTTGAAATTTCTTAAAGAAGTAATCTCTAAGTCCATAGTTCATACTCCTCAGGTACTACTCTATGGGAATCTCGGCAGAAGCCGTTCGCATTTCCGGCAAGGCAAGGTTCCAACTCCTACGAGTCAAGCTACGACACTGGAGCAGATATGCAATGATGAGCCATCGGAAGGAAGCGATTCGGCAGAGAGTGTGGATCCCGAGCAGGATGAATGTCAGTGACAATGATCACGAGCTGATCTTTTGGAAGTTCTTGGAAAGCCCGAGATTCGCCAGACAGGTTTTGACGGACGACCGCAAGCGTGCAGAGAAATCCGTCCTGCATTGACTTTGACTTTGATTGATTGTTGTGAATTGAATTTCAGGCTATCTCCCCGAATCCAAACTGACTACATATCATGAACCATAGGCCATAGGTCATAGATCCCAGTATTCTACTGCGAATTCATCCAAGATAATCCCTCATCATATTGTTGATCATCTTATCTTGTATTGAGGACAGTGCGAATCAATTCAATGAGCCCATCTGCCGACCATGAGTTCTGACCATCAAATCATTGATCATATTATCTGATGTTGAAACAACAGTCTAAGTTGCACCCATCTCCTGACCATGCTTTCTGCCATACGTTCTGCCGCACACATTGCTATAGTCTTAATGATACCACGCCTACTCCAACTTATGAGCAGGACTTGAATTTAGAGAGCTACCCATGTAAGTAGTAAGGCCATGTAGTCAAAACTAGGGAACTCCCTTTTGGGGCTTCCAAACTGTAGGGTGCCGCATTAAGAGTAGAACCAGATCTGGGTCCCCCACAGGGACCCGGTTCAGGGTTTAGGGGTTTGGGGTTTCGGATTTCGTCAGTTACCCATGTGTTATTGTTGGTCCCTGATTCACGACCCGTCGTCCTGCTTAGGTATGCTAGACAGCCACAGGGAGAACTGTAAGCCTTCTTGGCGTTATATATTAGGTCCAGCCTGAAACATTTGAGGTTTTTTGGGCCTGGTCGTTGAAGAAGAGAGGTAGTCGGGGGAGTACATTCCAAGGCTCTTGCTTTCTTTCTTTAGTCCTTGGCTTGTTGGAGTATGGTTTCTTGTGTATTTATATATACCCTAGGCCCTAAACCCTAAACCCCTAAGCCCTTAACCCCTAAACCCATAAACCCTAACCCCTAGCGCCTAAACCCTAAACCCCTAAACCCTAACCCCTAACGCCTAAACCCTAAACCCTAAACCCCTAAACCCGAACCCCTAACCCTTAACGCCTAAACCCTAAACCCCTAAACCCCCAAAGCCCCTAAACCCTAAACCCTACAACCCCTAAACCGTACCAGGCCTGGGCCAGGTTGTGTTGTTTTTAGAAAGTTGGAACATCCTTATCCAGAGTTTAGGGTTTAGGGTTTAGGGTTGGCACCCTTGACGTAAAATTGGAAGGGATCCTAGCACTAATCATCCTAACTCCATGGTCCAACTTTCTGGTGTTTTTCTGTAAAGTACTTTTGTGTGTGTGTGTGTTGTCCTTTAACAGAGGATGCCAAACAACCCCAGCCACCCCCTGCATTACCAACGTAGCGGCACTAATTTTGAGCATGGTTCTGAGGAATGTTGCAGACTCGAGGATAATGTGGTCAAATGTACCGCGCGGGCTCCGGCTCGCCCAACGCAGGAATTGTTCATAATTGTACACTTGGAGTGGGTTGGGCCCCAAACCCTCAACCCCCAAACCCCAGACCTTAAACCCCAAACCCTAAACCCTAAGCCCTACACCCTAACCCTCAACCCCAGACCCGAAAGTTTCAAAACCCCAAACCCTAGGCCTTATCCTCCAAACAGGACGGTCTTGGCATCCCTGAGAGGTGAAGCAAACATTGCAGGGACTTTCGGGACGCAGCTCTCTGAACATGGGTGCTCGCATCAGTGATGTGCAAGGCTCCCTATTCAGGGTTTAGGGGCTTTGGGATTTAGGGTTTAGCTTAAGATTCGCATCGGTGATGTGCAAGGCTCGCTGCAAAGCTCAACAGGCACTGAGCAGACTATAGGGTGCAGGAAGTTTAGGGCTTAGGTCTAAGGTTGAAACCATGGGCCCTTCTTGACCTTGATCCCACATCCAAAGCTTTAAACCCGTGGCTCCTGAAACCCCAAACCCCTGAAACCTAAATCCGGAAGAGGGGGCCCTCTATGATTAGATATGGGTTGTCGGGTAGATACGAAAACTTCGTTTACGTCAAGGAACCGTTAGAAATACTGTTTGTGGATCTTCAGGCCGATATGTTAAACCCTCCGCTCAAAGCCTAGACTCGGTCTCGTGTGCCTTTCGATGCTTTCATGCGAATACAGTCTTTCAGGTCCTAGGTAGTATGAGGGAGACCCCTTAAGGGAGACCCTTCTTAACCCTACTTTGGCTCTCTTAAAAGGGACTTTAATGAGAGTCTATATCCCCAAGGGTCCTTCCCGCTGATCCTAACTCCTAGCTTGCTCCTATAGGGTTTCCCAAAATTGCCCCGTAAGAACACGAAGCGAATAGGCTGCTTACGATAAATTCTATCGCTCAACATCGCAGTAACTGCGCCAGGTCCCAACTCCGCCTCAGTGCACCCGCAAAGAAACCCACAGAAAGCCCACATAAGAACCTGTAGACAAACCCTATAAACTCTAAACCCTAAACCCATTAACCCTAACCCAGGCAAGCTCTAAGAGCCCCCAGTAAAGAGCCCTAAATAATGGCCCTAAGTAGCCACGACGGCTCCTTGAACTCCCAAACCCCCCAAAATAGGGTTTAGGGTTTAGGGTTTAGGTGACATTGATAACAATATGCAAAAACAGCAGCTATGATGAGTGTTCTTATTATTGTCAAGTACTTTTACTTGTACCATTATAGTAATACTGGTAATAGTACAAAGAATTAAAGATGCCACTAAGTCTGACAATAGTAGCAATGGACACGACGCCAGGAATCATGTGTATTAATATGTGCACAGTAATGAATAATCCCTTAACCCTTAACCGCCCATGGACATGCAGGCCGTGAGCTGAATTTGGCGTTCTTCGTCGAGCGCTGCGGCTGGGATGCTGCATTCGACGTGGGTGCACCTCAGCTTTTCGCGGGAGGTCGTCGACTAACTGCATCCCAGGCTCCACTGCTTGGTCTCCCAGTGGGACCTGTTTCCCAATACCTTAAAATCTGAACCTTGACCCCAAACGCCAAAAATCCTAGAACCCTAAATCCTCTGCTTAGACCCTAAACCCTCCTATCATATGCCATATAGAACCAACAGGGAGCCCTATTTGGCTCCTAAGTTCCTGAAGATCCTAGACTGCCAGACAGGGCTCGGTTTTGTATGACAGGAAGAAGAATACTAATCTAGGGGCCTAAATGATTACCAATACTATTTTGGGAGGTTTCCTTGTTATGATGAAAGTATAATGGGCCCAAGGCCTTAACCTCATTCTACTTAGTGAGTCCCCTGTACGACTCCAGCAATCATAAACATAATCGTAGTCATGCACAAGCAATATCCCCTGATACCCTAAGGCTGCAGGTGCACAAACACTGGCCATCCCGCCCCCCCGGCTCACCGTACTGCCCTGTCGTTGAGCCAATGGAGCTTTGATCATCACTAATCTATAACATACTACAACCTACTATAGCATACTACCAGAAGGAAGCCCTCAACCTTAGCCGTCTCCATTGGTAGTTAGGCTAGATGGAGAGTGTCTGGGTCGAGAACTTTGGTGGAGAAATCCCGACGTGAACCCTGCGGATTTTTCTGCTGTCATCATGGCACGTGTCTTGATGATGATTCCACATTGTAGGGTGCAGTTGTGGGAGCTTCCAGAAGTAGCAGTATCATGCTTGCATAGTCCAGGTGTTAGTACTGTCTGCTATGCTTGAAGCTGCCCTCCGGCGCTGGGCGTTCAACACGGCAGTACCGGGGGGGTATCCTTTAGCATGCCATGCGACCACATGTTTTTGTCGATGGCTGAGTAGGTTTTGTCAGACTGTGGTACAAAAGGCTGGCCCAACCCCCCTCCCCCCAACACAAACTTCTACTACTACTACTACTACT